CAAATTGCTGAGCTGTCTACTCCGACCTTACGCATCGTCACGGAGGAGGGAGGTAAGCTCAATAGAGGCAAGCAGAGGCCCGTTGGTGTCAACAGCGTTCATGGGATGTCGCCGACGTTGGCAGCGGATGCTGGCGCCATGTGGGAACATTGACACTGACGCGAGCCGGCTCTGCGGAGTGAGCGAGGGACAGCGATCATGAATGCAGTCACAAAGTACCGGGATGACGAAGCAGCATATGTGAAGAAAAAGAAAAAACGAGGAATAAAGAGGAAGAAACCAAGAGAAACAAAATGCAAGGACACGGGAATAACACCAGATGAATCATAGTCTTGTGCAGAGGTGGTTCACGCTTAAGGCTTCCCTTGAAGCCGAAGTGGATCGTCTGAAGCAGGAAACACTGTGGCATACAACTCACAACAGTCAGTTCAAATGCGAGTTACGAAGCTAGGCTGATGGACGTGATGGTTTCGAGCACAAACATGACTGTCTACAAGTCCAAGGCAACCACCATGATTGACGAGAAGAACCACCACATTTCTGAAGAGGAAGAAAAGGTCCGTACACTGGAGGACTGGCTGAGGACTCGCATGAGCACAGTTGCATGAAGAGGCTGCTTGAGGAATTTAAAACGCATCTCAAGGATCAGCAGGAGGAGTGTGCCAGGTTTGAGAGGCAGTTGCTGGAGAGAAATACTGAACTGTCAAACATGTGGCAAAAACACGAAGAAGAGCTTCAAAGGCAGTGTATAGTTCAAGACTCACAGGTAGATGAGCTACTAATGCAAGTATCTGATCTCTTTGCGCAGCTCGCCCACGTCCAGGAGGAGCACGACTGAGAGGCAAATCAAGTGCAAGCACTAACTGTGAAACTGAGCAAGAAGGTAGTCGAGTGCAGTGAGAACCAGAAGTGCATCCAAGGGCTTGAGCCTGGCCAGAGGACTTTGTTGACAAAGATCTTCGAACTAGAAAAGCAGCTCAGTGTTCTGTGGCACACTTTAGAGAAGAAGGAGATTGAACAAAACAGCATCCAGAAAGAGCTTGCAGAGCTGAAGCCGGTGCTTGTCTCGGCCGAGGTGGAGAACAAGCGACTGATGGAGGAGCTAGTGGCAAGGCAGCAGGAGGCGGACAAATATCAATCCCGACTAAAAGTAGTGACGCAGATGCAGGAATCCATAGAAAGAGCGATAGAAAAGGTGGAGCAGTTGGAGGAAGCTGCAATTAACATTAGCAATTACAACAGCGTGTCTGACCTGACGTGCAAGGCGGCTGTCCTCGACAACCAAAGCTACATTGAGAGAGAGTATGAAAGGCGATCCGATGTCGGAGGCGTATGCAGTCAGAGCTTCTACGGGGACATCGCACCTCTCTGGCTGCCAAGGTCCCCCCCGTTCGAAGACTACCACGTGGAAAAGTGGCCGCCACCGTTACGCGAGTGGTCCAGACAGATACAACAGAAACGACACATGACACATGACTCGCCTGAGGCCACTGCACCAGGAGCATCAGCGTTATGTCATGCACTCGCCGACGACCTGAGCAAGTCCGGTGCACCTGCGTTCTCGTGCTGTGACAAATTGACTGTGCCGGCATGTGGTCTTGTGTGCCACGAGCGGTCCATCATGGCCAGGGCTAAAAGCTATTGCATCCCCTCTTTCTCACCACTTTTGCCAAAGAGGAGGAGGCAGTATGGGAGCGGCGACCACAAGCGAGCCGATCAAAGGTAGAAGTGGAGGACAAAGATTGCGAGTGCGCTTGCAGCAGCGGGCAGTTGTGGCTGGGGCTTAGCAGTATAAATCCGGTTCCTGGTCTCGCTCCCAGTCTTCTCTGCGGCATACTGAGCCGGGTAGTCTTGAAACTCCCTAGAAGGTACAGGCAATCAAACCTTTTAGGGGGACATCGCGCCCCCGTGGCTGCCGAGGTCACCAGCATTCACCAACTACTTTGTGGAGGAGTGGCCGCCAGCCAGACGTGAATGGTTTGAGCACTTACAACAGCAGATCATGCAACAGCGGTACATCTACTAGAACGAAGAAGCCACACAACAGCGTCGGCGCCAGAAACAACAGCGTCACAACTACTCCGATGCCGCTAGCTCGGGAGGACTGGTGCTGCACCAAAAGCATTAGCATTCCATCACTCTCACGCCGGTGACCGTGGTCGTCAACGTGAGCGAATCCAGTGCACCTCCTTCTCAAGGCAGCGGCAGAGTTAGTTCAACTGTGTGAGTCAGCGGTTACAACATATGGCAGCCCACTAGGTGCCACAAGGAGATGCGGATGGGCAGCCCTCACAAGTGGTTGTGTGTGCCATGTGCAATCCGCCGTGGCCAGGGCTAGTTGCTGCCGCAGCCCCTCCTTCTCCCCCACTTTCACTGGAACGAAGGGAACAGTGTGGGAGCACTCGGTGGCTGGGAGTGCTCCAATTGTAACAGAGGAGAATGATGACCACAGGTGCGTTCACAGCTCACGCTTGGCAGCCATTGACGGGCAGTTGCGGTAGAGCTCTTGGTGGGTAAAGACCTGTCCCTCGGTTATTGGTCTCATCTCCAAGGTGTTTCCAGGCCATCCACAGCGCGGAGCCCCACATCCCCCACCGTCTCGTCGGTATCAGCATTAAATGGATACATGCAATTATAATGAATACCGTACATAATGAAGCCAATTTCACGATGGGTGTAACCTCTCCCCAATTAGGTTACGACTACACCGATTATTTTACGGGCTGATATATTTGACATGCAAAGCTATTGCTGTTCGATGTTAAAGAGAAACTTCAGTGATAATTTAATGTCTACTGATCTCAATAAAATTGCAAGATCTTTTTTTCAGTACTCTGGTAATATGTACCATATGATATGACTGCAAGACATTTGGTTATTCTAAAATGAATTTTAAAGATTAACAGTGAATTCCCAAATCAAGATGCTGAATGCAGGCCACCCTGTATCAGTAACAATTGTCCTCTACCTTATCTCACCACTTTTCCCGTCTCCCCTTTCAGACAGAGACAAGAGACAAAGCGGGCTGTAAGGTTTTATATAAATTCATAAATCTACTCAATTGGTGGCCACTTTCCTCGAGTCGGTGTAACCCAGTTAAAAAGACAAACAAGAGCAATAAGACAACAGCCACCACAAGTGATTTTGTAGGCTGGGCTTCGTGCGGTAAGAAATACAGGATGACAGCCGGCGTTATGCTGAAGGTTCAAAGAGCAAAGCGATCACGACCGGGGGCACGTGTCGTCACTCGTTTTCTTTAAAATGGAGCTTTTCGGCAGAAGTGGCTTTCTATCATTTAGCTGGTCGACTGTTTGCACGGTATAAACACTTTCGTGTGGTATGCGGTACGGCGTGCAGTCATTGTAGACATTACACGAAGCAGATACTCGTTTCAGTTTCGACAGATTGCTTTATGGTTATTTAAAATTGCTCATGAATCACTAAGCTAAACCACCCCAGCTCTTACAGGACTGTCCGCACAATTTGAAAACGACAATATCCTAAAATTGTCAATCCCGCAGAATTGCGCTTTCAAGTATAAGCAATGATGAATAGGCCTGCCCAATTTCGCATAGTCTCTGAGAGTTTCTTTCTTACCTTTGTACTCTCCTTCAAATTTCAATACGGAAGAGAAAACAGCATGAGAAACTGTGCTTTGGGTATTCTGGTTCCACTAACAAGTGCTTCCAAAAAAATTTGTTTTTTTGGGGGGGGTGGGGGGGCATAAGTCAAAAAGATCTAAAGCCAGCACACAATCTTGCTGAACAAAATCATAAGGTGCAAACGCCGCTTTTGCATTTCGATGCAACATAACTTAGTTTATCGATATTTCTTTATTACTTAGTCACTCCCACGAGTACTTTTTATCATCCTATCGTGAAGTAACTCCCCTCCCTCCGTCCCTTTAATAGCATCCTCTGCATTTTTAGGGTAATAAAAGTTTCATTCAAGAACACAGATTTTTGCTTAATTCCTGCGGCGCAAGTGGCCTGCATACACAATAACATTCAAATCACCATAAATAGGATCTCGTGCAGTTACCAGAACTAGGAAAACACCCATGACCTTCTCTTCACATGCTCAGTCTAAAGCACTCAAACAGTTACCTTGTAATCAGCGCAACACAACTTCAGTGATGTATCACTGTATTACCATAAACTTGTCCTAATTTGTGCAGAAGTTGGCCGTCAGTTAACACTGAAACATTGAATTTCCAATGCCATTTTTTCAAGGAATCGCAGATGTGCATTTGTTCATTCTTAGAGAATGATGCAAGGGTAAATCGTAATACGTAAAAGAAAGACGTGGCAGCCTTACACACAGCTCTGGCTTCGATTTGTAACAAGCAGAACACATGATAGCATGAAGTTGCCAGAAGCACGGGCTCAAAGACAAATTTCTTTTCACTAGTGCTACATCCAGTCATAATTTAATTTTTTTTTTGCCCGCCTTCGTGTGGCTATGTTCTTTCATCAGGCTCAAAGACGGTAGGGTAAATCATTTAGGGCTTTGCACATCCACAAGAAAAAAAATAATAAATGCATCAGCCGCCTGTTGCTTGCGTAGCACTAAAGAGACTGTCTTGTTTCGAATAAATAACATGCCTGCTGGTTGTCTGTGAATGCCTACGCATTGCTGTACAATCTGCCCAGTGTTGAATGAAACTTGAGTGGAATTTGTGTTTGCCACGTGTTCCTAAACGTCGTGCTTTTTTCTGTGGCGCCATCGCCCGAAGACTGAGCCGAGATCATTAAACCAACCCTCTGTACCTCCGCAAGTGTCGCCACTTTCACCACGCTGGCCTAATTTCACTTTAAAGGTATCTGCTGCTTCTCTCTAGTTCAAGGACATTGAAACGAATGTCACCAGCTAACAGCTGCACAGCGACACGAGCAAATAAATTAATTGAAGCTTCAGAGTTTTACAGCTAGTTACGGGCACCGACAAATGGTGTGGACACTTCTCCCCCTCCCCCTCCCCCCTCATAAATCGTAGCACTCTGACTTCATGAAAAAGGTTTTATTTATGGTCGAAGGGTTACCTAAAGAAAAATTTTTCTACTCACACACGATTTGGCAAGCTCACATTGGAATTTCAACACACCGTCAAGTGCAACGACACACATGCCTATTTCCTAAGGTACACACGCAATGCCAAAGCGCACTTTACGAAACTACACTCGCCAGACCACTGCGCACGTATCGCGCTGAAAAGATGCATGACTCACTCACTCACGGGGAATGTAGTAATGGTGCGATACTGTTCAGCAGGAGTGAACACTACAACCACACTGCAACACACGGTTACTCAGTGCACAAAGAAGAGCAATGAAATGAGGAACGAAAAAAAAAAAGAAAGAGACTAAGTTTCGGGGCTTCGCTTTTTGAACGTGCCCATCATGGTACACCTCCCTCGCAAGCCAAGCGGCAAGAGACTGGCAGTCAGAAAAAGGGTCGACGGTAAAGAGACGCCAAGTTCCGAGGGCTGGCGGTCGCAGCGCATGGTCTCCGGAATCTACGCTTCTCTATTTGATCACGCAACGCATTACTTGACCTACAAACGAGAGTGAGAGTGACTGTGAGGCCCACAATTGCACCGACATGTGCTTAACGAACTTCAATAACTTAAGAGACTAAGTCAGTGGGCCATAATTGCCCAGAAGCTTCCACAATTTTAAGAGCCGCTGTGGAAACGATCAGGCAAATGCTTCCACAAGATATGGAGTGAGCGGCAACCCCCTCCCACGAGACTGTACAGCATGCATGACCACAGCTACGTAAGCTATGAGACACCAGAACTGATGTGCAGCGGGGAGAAACCGCGGTGGCTTGAGTGTCTGCCACAGGAAAGTCTCCGTGAACAATCGGCAGCTAAGGGCCGCAACAGTCCCGCCTTGAATAAAACGGGTGCGTCACGGCACCACAAGGGGAAGAAGTTAAGGAGTTGACCTAGATGTGCGATGACACTCCCGGACCAGGGCGCCGCTGTCATTGAAAGATGTCCGGCAGCGTCGTGGTGGCCGCTGGTCGCGGCGACAGCGGCCGCTGCTGTCGCGCCCGCGGCCGCGGCAAGCTTCTCCTGGCTTTGCACCACGGCCACTATGTTCTGACAGATGGTGGCGACGGCCGGGTCGGTGTCTGGGTTGTCCAGCATGCCTTGGAGCACGTCGATGCCTCCTTCGTCCCGCAACATGGTACAGTAGCGCTTGGCTGTGAAAAGGACCAAGGTTGCTCAATCAATGCACAGTATCACACCATTCTAGGGAGGATGCTATCCTGCTTGTCAAACTTTCTTTAATTCTTTATTAACTTCTCAGAAACTTTCTTTCTCTACGCATATTTGCACACTGACCTCAAGTATAGAATTCTTTTTTATATGGTTCACAATGTATCGCTATAAATTATAGAATGTTCTATACGCCTTTTTGGGAGCAAGCTTTTTCTGATGGTGAGAGAGACACATACCATTTCTCTCTTTTACAAGAATGTACTGTCTTGTTATGCACTACCTTAGACTGAAATACTGGTGCTAAAAGTTCCCTGAAAAACTACACTTGAACTGATTAGGTCTTCTTCTTCGTGCCCATCTGATGTAAGCGACCGTAAATCTTCTGAAGATAATCCCCTGACACCACCACAATAAGAAAACAACAACAACAATGGCCCGCAATTATGAAATTTTCAGGCCTTGATCTATCACATGCAAAGCACTCCTTAGGTCACTTTTGCCGCAGTACTCTGGTATGATGCGGAGGAGCGTATGAAGATTATCAAGGGACTATTAGCTGTCACAGGTCGCAACATACCTCACTGCTTATTTATACACGCGTACACGGGCCATATGCTAACGAGGGCAAGTAAATCGCTGACCTCCAAGAGCTTCACTTGCAATCATTTTGAACTGTTCACGGACACTGATGGGGTGCAAAACAACGAATGAAAATAGACCTTTTTTTATTGTACACTAATTTTCCTTACTTTTTGGTGATACGAATGTTGAATGATATGAATATTTTTGATGACCCCTGGAGATTCGTATCACCTAGGTTGTATTGTATAAGTGTATTGTTCGGTTCAACATTGTTTGACTTTTACGTATCAATTTTATTTAGAAATTATAAGCATAGTAGCACCTTGAATACGATAGTCACTCCTGTACTTCAACCTACAGTTACAAAATACTTCGCAGGTTCTAGTTGCCACATTAGGCAAGTTACCTTAGTTTTCATAATTGTGGTATTTCTTGCTGTTTAAAAAGTGCTCGCAGTGTTCCTTTAGTAAACTGACAAATACTTGTTGCAAATAAAATTTTGTGGTACTGCAGGGCTCTATTGAAATTGTTCCTTTAGTATTAAAATACTATTCTAATATTACATGAGTCATATTCATATTTGATTCGCTTTCATACTGTTCTATTTATATTCAATGCAGTTTAAGAAATTGGTAAACCCACACCCCTACTAACGAGCATGAACCTTTACAGGACCGACATGCAGGTAGACAAACTACATAGCTTACAAGTGAAAATTAAATTACGGTGTTAAACATGCAAAACTCATGGTCAGATTATGAGCCATATTGCAACAGAAATACAGATCGTCTTTGATTACACAGGGCTGTTTAACATGAACCTCCTCCTAGCTGTGTGATCATGCAAAGCCTCGTCAGTTTGTCTCTGTGAAAGTGAACTCACAAAAAACGGCTCCTGATTCACTTCCAAAAAGAATTTTTTCTTGTTTACTTTTCTCCCCTGTTCACATCGTTCAAAGGAGTGTAAAATGACCTCCTCAACCTATTAAATCAAATTTCAGGCCAGAGAGGAACCACAACACCTCATAAAAGAGCCCGCAAAGCCTTATAAGCCTTATAACAAGTTACAGACATGTATTCCTGACACTTCGACTCGCACAACGCAGAAAAGGAGGCAAGAACATGCACATACGGTTCTTGGAGCAGACGTGGTGCATGGCCCAGACCGCCCACAGCTGCACTTCGCAAGATGTGTTGCACCGAAGCAACGGGAAGAATGGGTTGAACGACCTGAAACCACGAGATCGAAGAGCCTTTACCTCACCGAAATAGGGAACAAGCATCGTCACCGCATCACCGACACCCAACACGGCGAGAAATGCAATCGTACACTTCTTGTGGGAACTTGATAAAGTATAATAAAATGGGTTGCCTGAAAATCAAGATGCATGAAAACAAGCATACTTGGTGACAAATTCTTAATCGAAACAACAGCACAAATCGAACAGAGGTAATCTTGGAAAGTAAAAAATATGCTCATTAGAGAAATTGTTGAGGTGGCCCACACTTCTCATTTGGCAGAGGCATTCATCAGCATGTATTTCGTTGACTTGCCCAAAAATGAAGCTGATTATATTTTCTATGCAAATGCTCTTCAGGATAGTGTTTTTTTTTTTTCATTGTCAATTTCGTTTCTTGTTAGCATTCATGTGCAGTGGTTGTCGCATGCTCTTGTGAGCAGCACAAATTGTCACTACATATATGTGTATTTCCCTAACTAAACATCTGTTTAAAGTCGGCACTTGTCCATGTTAGCTCTCTTTTCGTCCATTCGTTGTTGTTTTTTTTTGTCACGGCTGTCGAAATTTCGTGACATGCATATGAAGTTATACTGCATTGCATAGCACATTCTGCAGCGAAACGTCCCTCTACACCCCAATGCACTGCCGTGAAAAGTGATTCATTCTACAACACTGCAAGAGCATGTCAACAAATGCAAGATATTATTCTTTACAATAAGTGTAAAAGTGTTTTTGTGGAAGTTACAAACAGTAATCTGCCATCTCCTCACTTACGGGAGCGTTCTTAGTTCATTTAAGGGGCACTGCACTTGAACACTTTTCTTGTAAACCAATGATCAACTTTTATGAAACTTGCAGAGTACTTTCTCCAACTGCTTAAATTATGCAATTCTTTTTCACACAATGGGCAGTATTTTAGATAAACATTTCGTGGGCCTTCTGGGGAGTAAATTACTTACAAAATTGAAAGATGAAGTAAATCAGCACGTTACAATAACCTAGAATTGGAAATGTATGTAGTGAACCAAGAAATTAAAGTTTCAAACCCATTTGAACAAACGTTACAGTATGTTGAACATTCATAAACAAAATTCGAGCTTGACGTCAACTCACTTGCAACGTTCAACATATAAACTAAAATATAAAGCTAAACTCAAACCTTGATGTAATAAACCCAGATAGAACAAAACATCATTTATAACGAAGTGGATGAAAAACAGCCATGCAATAAATGTAATGCTAGAAATAAACTTTCGTAACGAACTTTTTTATATAACGAATTTATTTCCCTGTAAGGTGCAACTTTGTTACAATGAGGTTTGAGTGTACCTAAATCATTTCTATGTTTGTACTAATCTAATCTGTTCCTGCATGCAGGCTTCCTGAATTGCCTTAGTTTCAAAATACAAGCAAAAGCTCCCTTTTGGCACTAGCATTATCACAATTTCCAGTGAAAATGTGACCAAGTTAATGTACAAGAACAGACTGCTACTATAAGAGATTGGCCGCAAAAGTATTAAAACAATGTTATTCCCAGAAATCCTAACCCTGGGTTTTTCCCTGACCTACTCTGCTCCCTTCTTGTCTCTTATTTAAGGTTACACCAACCATTTTCCTTTCCATCACTCGCTGCGTCGTCCTCAATTTAAGCTGAACCGTTTTTGTAAGCCTCCAAGTTTCTGCTCCATAGGTAAGTACAGGCAAGAGGCAGCTGTTATATACCTTTCTCTTGGGAGATAGTGGCACTATGCCATTCACAATATGAGACTGCTTGCTGAATGTGCTCTACCCCATCCTAATTTTTCTAGTTACTTCTATCTTGTGGTTTGGCTTCGCGGTTATTACCGGTCCTAAGTAGACATAGTCTTTTACAACTTCTAGAGCCCTATTACCTATCTCGAAGCACTGTTCTCGTCCCAGGTTGTTGTACATTACTTTCGTTTTCTGCAGATTACGTTCAAGACCTACCTTTCTGCTCTCCTTGTCTAACTCCGTAATCATGAATTTCAATTCGTTCCCTGAGTTACTCGGCAAGGCAATGTCCTCAATGAAGCACAGGTTACCAAGGTACTCTGCATTAACTCCTATCCCTTACTCTTCCCATACTAGGCCTCTGAACATGCATATATATATATACCCATAGAGGGTATATATGTGTATTTAAATGTAGGAGTGTCAGTCAGTGCCGCCTGCTGCCTATAAGGTCAAAGGTCGCAGGTTCACTCCCTGCTGGCGGTAAGTTATCTTTTCGTCCACTTTTCTTTGTTCACGTTTACATTACAACTACTTCTAATAATATTCCCTATACTTCTCTAGGTATCATTGTCTATTAATTCTCATTAAAACATAAGATGGCATCCCTGCCAATATGGCACATACCGATTCCCGACTGTACAACATTATCGGAAAAGGACTGAAGAAAAGCCATAACAAGCCTAAATTTCCAAGGCCAGGAGATATGCACAACAATTTTTTTTTCATGCTTGTACACCGAGAAAAGCGTTGGCAAGAAAAAAGTAGCAATCGCAGTCATTCACATGCACTATGAAATCCATTTCACATCTTTTTTTCATACTAATCTAGAGATGGGAGCACTTCTGTTATATTAAGTGCACATAATTAAAGGGATTATCGGGCAGTGTTCCATTCTCAACTGGGTCTCTTGTTCCCGCAATAAAAAAATAGTAATTGGTATGTGCCAAATATGCCAGACATTAGAGCCTCAACATTATTCTAAAATAAAGCGAATCCACACAGTATTAGAGTTTCCATTTAACAAATTTTGTAGCAAGCCTCACAAACAGGAAGAAGTGCTACCCAGCCTCCAGAACTACGGGCTGTGATCTTTCAAATTGGGATGGAGCTGCTCACCTGTAGGCCACCATTTCAGTTTCCGGGCTCTTCCAGCCTTGAACCACTTCACCCTGTAAATAGACACAAAACAATCTAGATAGATCTTGCCCAAAAATCATGCTGTCAAAGCAGGATAAATTTTGTACAGTCTGCAACAGGTGTCGTTTATTTAATGGGACACTAAAGGCAAACATTAAATCGATGTTGATTGCTGAAATAGTGATTCAGAAACCTTATATTGCTACTTTTGTATTAAGGAAGTGCTTATTATGATATAATATCAAGTTTTAGAAGCTCGCACTGTGTTAGGGCACTTCAAAAACCCCTGAAAGCCGTCTGTCTCACGTCAATGTTGCAGTGCACAACGTTGTCCGGCTTTACTGCGCTGCCACCGACAGTAGTAGCAGCACAGCGAAAGTAGCCAAAAAATTTTCCGCCATGGCCTCCAAGATGGCGGGCGTGCTTGGTTCAACAGAGCTCCAATAGATGGCACCAGCTGTCCAGTTTAACCAGGCGAAAATGGAACTTTTGAACCACTCGCACCATTCCCCATAGTAACCAGCAGCAGTTCTTTTTTCTATAACTCAAACAAAAACAAACAAGCAGCCTTTTATTACGCCCCTTCATGCACAGAAGGTTCTCTTCTTTATCGCATTACTATTGGTTAACTGTAGTCTTCTTTCTCCTTCTTTCTTCCTTCATTTCCTCTATGCAAGAAGCAGGCAGGCGTTGTGCTCCTATAGGTGGCAGTTGTGAGCGTGTTCCCTCCATATTTTTTTTGTATTCGTGGTTTTCTATCGTGGTGTACACGTATCCCGAAGGAGTACGGCCACCAGCGTGGGTCCGGTCTTAGCGAACCGCAGGGCACGCGTTAACCGTCGCCGTGGCGAGAACACGATACTGCTCAAAGTCGCAACACTTTATTGTGGCAACACCAAACGCAGTACAGCCCGTTGCAAAGGCGCGGCGGGAAAGCAAACAGGCTTATCCACGCCACGGGCATAAAGTACTACACCGGGTGCCACGAGCACGTCTCCGCGGTAAAGGTGATCCACGGAGACACCAGGACAAAGGCCCGGTTGCTCGAGCGAAGGCAAAGGCGCTTGCGTTGGCTTCGAAGGGAGACGGGTCGGCGTAGCGAGGCCACGCACTAGGACACCGTACCGCCCTTCGGCCATGAGTACGCAGCGGGGCAACAAAAGGTGAGCGTTCGCCTCGGGCGCGAGGCGCCGTCAGCGAAGTCCGACGAGCCCCGAGCAACGGGAGTCGACGGACGGAAAAGATTGCGTGGCTCACCGTTTGCTGTCCCAGAGAGTACTCTCCGCTCCCGACGCAGCGCCCGAAAACCTCTCGGGAGTCCCCGCGCGCGGCGCCACAGTCAAACATCCGCTTTCGGGTGAGGGAGTTAAACGTCACTCCGCTCTCCCACCACGGCAGACAGCAAAGGAGGGCAGACATGTCGGGACATGAGAACGGCAGAAAAGGCGGCAAAGCCCGCGCAAAGGCAGCGGGCTAGCCTCAATTCCCACATCCCCCTCTCCTAAATTTGCCCTTTACCAGTCTGCAAAAGGCAGCCGGACGTCACCCATGCAGTTAAAATGACACTGCTATGAGCGCCAGCTAACCTCAGTCCAGTCCTGCTACTGCTGCTAAAAAAATGATTACAAAGGAGAAACAAAACATAAATAACAAAATAAACACATGACACTATAAAGATAACTGCGGAAGGGAGTACAGGGAAGTGGGACTAGTGTTCGTGGTGCTGAAGCAGGATAGCGTCCACTGCGCGGAGGGGCAGAAGGGCGTGACAGTGTCCGCTGGGTGCGATGCCCGAGTGTGAGGTCAGAGGTACGGGAGGGGGCTCACTGATGGCTTGTTGCTGCTCTTGATAAGCCGCGAGTCCGACGAAAGCCGCTTCGGTTGTTAGGAGGCCCCGCATTTCCGGCTCGATGACGGAGCTGGAAAGTTGCGGGAAGCCGGGCCTCTCCAGTGGTCAGGGAGGCCAAACCGAAATTGGCTGCGAGGGGCCCTGGCGTTGGCTGGCAGCATATAGCTGCTTTCAGCTGGCCTCGCACAGGAGCCATGGTGGAAAAGGCAGCAGGGCTTCTTCGGCGACAGCCGAGAGCAGAGCACAGCCAGATGGTCTGACGTCAGTGGGTCAATGCCCCCCAGCACCTACAGTGTCCGCGTCGATGGGAGGAAGCCATGACGCACTCTTCGCGGGCTCGCACCGAAGTGTCATGCACCCACACACGCACGCGCACACACCGCCGACAGCTGCGCGAGCGTAGGCGCAAAGCGTCCTTCATCTCTCTCTTCCGGCCAGCACCGACACTCAAGGTCGCACACAGCTCCCTTCGCGGTAGACAAAATGAACGCAGAAAAAAAAAGTAACAACAGAGCAAAATGACACTTAACATCTGGCAAAAAAAACATAAAATACACATGAACACTTAAAAAAAACACTGGCAGCAGACACGGCGGGGTCAACTTCTTTACGAGAAAAGGCCGTAAAGAAGCTAACCTATACTGAGGCTAGACAGTAAACTGATGGCCTTCGGTTGCGAAGAAGTCCGCCGTCCGGCGCGAAATCACAAAGGTGACCGCTTCTTCAGATTATACCGGCGCGGGGTCCGAATGCGGTCCGTCGCTGCGGGTGTGCCCGTTGCTTGCGCGAAGTGCCGCAGGGCACTGGCGCGAGCTCGTCAGACCGTGACAAAGGGCTTCAGGTCTGCGATGTGGGCACGGCTGAGTTTTCCCAAAGGGGATCTTTCAGCTAGTACGCGCCACGGACGCTCACTGACAATCAGTTCATAAGACCGGGCGGCTTTCCAACCCTTGGCTCAACTGTTTGTCAGACGTGCCAGGCACGGAATAGCGATAAAAGCCACGCTTCATGCCGGGCCAGGTTACAACATTGCTCAGTTTGCAAAAACTTTCGAGCCACTCAGGTGACCGGCCATGGGTTCGTTGTGAGAGGATCGCAACAGTGCGGCTCTCAGACTTTTGGGCATAACCACGTTAAACGGGTCGACAGACTCGTCGTCAGTAGCTATATGCTTCAGCAGGAGCCCATCATGGTCCAGCAAAATGAATCCGCCGGGGACTCAGCGACACACGCTGTTTCAGCCCCCTAATCGCGCCCGCCACAGAACAAGCAGCGTAAAGGCGCTCCGCACCTCGTCAAGATGGTTTAACGGCGCCCGCCGCAGAGCAAGCAGCGTATACGGCGCTCCATCCCTCCGAGATTCGAAACGGATCACTTTGCTGAGCCTTCAGTAGCTCTTCGCTGCTGAAAGCGATTCCCATTCTCCCAAATGTGAGAGTCTGGTATCGTGCCCACTCAGGACCGCAGCAACCGCCGCGTGCACGACGTCACGGGTTCGCTCTCGGCAAGGTGGCCTTCGGAAAGTTCCCCCGCTCGGACGCTACGCTGTGCGCCGCTTACCTGGATAGCAGCCAAGGTCGACCTCATGGGGACTCCCCCTTTTCGCCGCTGTTTCGCCCCCGACGCTTGCTTTATTGTGGCAACACCAAGCCACTTTATTGTGGCAACACCAAACGCAGTACAGCCCGTTGCAAAAAGACGCGGCGGTAAAGCAAGTAGGCTTATCCACGCCACGGGCACAAAGTACTACACAGGGTGCCACGAGCACGTCTCCGCGGTAAAGGTGATCCACGGAGACACCAGGACAAAGGCCCGGTTGCTCGAGCGAGGGCAAAGGCGCTCGCGTTGGCTTCGGAGGGAGACGGGTTGGCGTAGCCAGGCCACGCACTAGGACACCGTACCGCCCTCAGCCGTGAGTACGCAGTGGGGCAACAAAAGGTGAGCGTTCGCCTCGGGCGAGGCGCCGTCGGCGAAGTCCGACGAGCCCCGAGCGACGGCACTCGACGGACGGAAAAGAATGCGTGGCTCACCGTTTGCTGTCCCAGAGAGTACTCTCCGCTCCCGACGCAGCGCGCGACAACCTCTCGGGAGTCCCCGTGCGCGGCACCACAGTCAAACATCCGCTTCCGGGTGAGGGAGTTAAACGTCACTCCGTTCTCCCACCACGGCAGACAGCAAAGGAGGGCAGACATGTCGGGACATGATAACGGCAGAAAAGGCGGCAAAGCCCGCGCAAAGGCAGCGGGCTAGCCTCAATTCCCGCACTATGTACTCTGACCAAATATTAATAATAATAATGATAATAATAATAATAATAATAATAATAATAATAATAATTGTGCTCTGTCGCTCACCGAATTGGAATCCGTTCCAAAACATCCCACTTATGGGGCCCGTCAAGAGATACATTTAGCTTAATTTCTCGCTAAGTAGAGAGCTGCTGTTGATAATACTAGTGCCGTTTTAGACGTCATAAATTGAGCTTTCACTATGACATAAACTATTTACCTTTAGTGTCCCTTTAATACTGCTGCCTTGTCGTCATATACTCTCCTCCAGGGCAGTGTGTACGATTGTGCACATCAACTTTCGAGGTGCGTCATGCCACAGAGTGTTTCTTCATATGGCTTGAAATGCAGTGTACATATTTGTACAGCCTTTTTGAGTGGACGAATAGCAGTCAATCATTTTTATCGTGCTGTGTACTGCTGCAGTAATTACTTTTCTGGAGGCACTACCATGATTGGCAATCGTCTGATGGGCTGCGCTCCAGGACCAAGGGCATTATTAGATGCGAAGCAGCTCTTTGATTAGCCTGTGTAACGCTGTCCGTCTGTGTCTTCGTGCCAACAAACCGCACCGCGCTTCCCTCGTCGCAGGTGTTGGGGCAATGCCAAGTAGGTCACGCCTTGCCTCAAAGTGCACGCTGACATCACTCTCTCTCCTCGCCCGTTGCGCACTCTCCATGTGTAATCTCTCTCTCGCTTTTCCCTCTCCACTGCTCGCAATGTTTGAGGGCACATCGATTGAACACTTTTTCGGCTCATTTGTCAGCGATGGAGAGGACACCGGAAAGCAAAGCTCCTTTCGCCCGCCGAAACATGCGCCGAAGCGATTTGGTGCTAACCTGGCCGTCGCTGACGTTTCGGGTTTCAAGTGCGCCAGACTTTGGATCCTAAACTCACCAGCTCCTTGAGCATGTCCTTGAGGCTGACGCATTCTACATTCCAGTGCTCGGGCCCGTCACTAGCCAGGTGTGCCACGATGCCAGCTGCAAAGTAGCTCACGTCGATCTGGGTCGAGTGCAACAAGTTCCTGCATTTAAAATAAACACAAAAAACTTTTCACCTTTGCATAACTCGTTCAAAAACACCTGTTCATTTTGCTTATAACTTTGGCTCATGATAACTAATGAAATGTCTTCTAATTTACACATGGACAATGTATGTTCTGCCTTTCACTGTGTTTTATAAAACATAAACTTAGAAATTCTCCTTGTAGCATAAAACTACACAAAGGTACTTTACGTACATGAGACATTTACGTACAGGTGCCCCTTTACTAAATTTAACATCAAAAACTTGAAGCAGTACAAAAAGGCTGTTAGGCTTGCTCATTCTAAATTTAAAATTACAGACTCACTGACTGAACTCATGACTACTAACAACATTGAAACACTTGCATTACGACGATAAAAGAACCACCATAACTTTCTCTATCTTCTTGTTAATCTGGGTGCATATCTGTCTTCTTTATCCACTAGGCATCCATACCATCATCATGCCCATTCTTTAACCTCATATTTTGTCCAGTTATCTGTTATGCATTCTGATAGTATGTGTTTTTTGTTTATATTCTGCCTCTTGTAACTGCCCTGCTTGGACCAGTTCTTGGTCTGCGTCTGCAGTATTCAATAATTAAATAAAATAAAATAAATCACATTTGTAGCACATTCTTCATTATATGCATTTTTAATAATTATCAATGCATTCGTCGAAGTGCACTGTTCAAAATTGTAAAAAAAAAATCAACTTCCCCAAACATGGTTTCATGTATTGCTGACCAGACTCATTCTGTACAGAGAAAATTACACCAGTTTAAAGGAAGCCTTAAGGGGAAGGTTCAGTTGAGCCACAATATAACAAAGCAGTATGGACATGATAAATTAACTCGTTATAATATCCAATAATAATTTTACCTGTACAGATATAAATCAGCACAAAGAAAATGACAACCTCGCTTACATGAAGATCCTATATACTATAAAAACGAATTATGCTAGGCTTTAAAGCCATTATAAACGAGATTATCTTTATCCGTCTCCTAGTAGCACTTAAGCTAGGACACACAAAAAGATGAGAAGGTGCTTTAACAACAGAACAAAGTTCATTTTACAAAGCAGGCCTGCATTCGCATTTATCCTTTCCAACTGTTTCCTCTTTTATAGCCGATGTCACAGCGCTGTTATACAAACAATAAATGTGATTGTAATGAAATGTGGCCAGCCAAAGTTCATATTTAAAGTCGACGTCCGATTTCCCGGACCCTCAAGGGACCGCGAAAATGTCCGGAAAATTGGGCAGTCTGGAAAAACGAATGCACGTGAAAACGCACCTTTTTTTTGTAGGTTATTTTGCTGACGAAGAGGGTAACGGCCGGAGTACAAGATTCCCATTGCAATTCAACCAATGCATCGTTTAGGTGGCTCTGAAAAGAACCGTTTATAAAAAAAAAAATCCGCAGGCCAGAGCTACCTCATAGGTCAGCACTTGGGTGCAAAGAAGTCACCTATTTTCTTTAGTATGGCGTTCCGCTTGCCCGCGATGAAGTCTTCCTCGCTTTCAGTCAACGTCATGTTGCCGCTAACACCAATGACAGTTTAATCAGTGCTCGCGTCAACTCTGAGCTCATTGGTTGTGTAGGAGATGGCTCTTCATTCTCGGTGTCAGAGTCATTCGAATCCTCCGTAACGTGACGAATTATTTTGTTATCGGTCAAGCCTGCACATAGCTCGAGGTCTTAGCGTCGGCGAACTCCTTAAAGGCTATCCCACATGGAATCGACTTGCCGGCAGCGCGCAGTTCGTCGAAGGCAACATCCGCGGATGGCAGTTGGTCAGCCACGCTGTCCACTTGAGGCGAGACGGCCGTCTCGGCGTCAAGTCTGAAGCCCGCGTGGCTAAAACAATTCCACAGAGTCTCTTGCGTAACTGCCTTCCACGATTCTGATAGCATGCCGACGGCAGACCTGAGGTTGACAGCGTAGCTTTTCTCGTTGCCAAATCAGGGCACCATGCAGCTGAGCACGCATGATTTGTAATGGTGCTTCAAGTTCCAAATCACGCCTTGGTCCATCGGCTACAGGATTGCTGTGGTGTTCGACGGCAGAAATTCAATCTGTATAGCTTTTAGGTCCTTGTTGTAGCCATGCACAGCGCAGTTATCCACAAACAGCAGAACTCTTCAATTTTGCTGCTCGAACCATCTGTCCAGCTTGTGCACGTACGCTTCGAATAACTGCTGCGTTACCCACGCTTTCTTGTTAACTTCATAGAGAACAGAGTCACTGCCCCCTTAAAACATCTTCGATGCTTCGACTTGCCTATTACTAGTAATGGAAGCTTCTCGCTGCTTGACATGTTGCTGCCAACGAGGACAATGAGCCGCTCCCTGCTGTGCTTGCTGCCGTGGCAGGGGTCACCAGAAAATGCAAGCCTTTTCTCTGGCAGCAGCTTGTAGAACAGTCCAGTTTCATCGCAGTTGAAAATATCATTAGGTGGAAACTGCTGAAGCAAGGGCTGCAGCTTTTCATCCCGATATTCAGCGACAACGGAATCGTCGACGGCACCGCTTCCCCGCACATCTTCCTTCAAGTCATTGCAGCTCTTGAAATTGCGAAGCCATCATCCATCGCTGAACTTAAAGTCCTTCATGCCCATCTGAAGCACCAAAACCTCCACGTTTTGCTTCAGGATGTCACCTGACACCGGGATTTTCTTGGCCATCATGGCACTAAGCCACATGACGAGCGCTTCCTCGAGCTTCAGGTAAACGCCCTGGCTTCTTTCCCGCCCCGGTTGATTTGGCAGCCACTTCCAAGATCTTCGCCTTGTTTTTGATGAAGTCTGAAACAGTTCGCTTCGAAATTCCGAGCTCCCTCCCCACCTCTGCCTGCCTCCGGCTGCGTTAGACCAGTTCAATGATGGTGGCTGTCTTCTCCATAGTGAGCCTACGAGGGGACTTTGTGCGCTTTGAAGGCACGGATGAAGACGAAGGAGCAGTCGGTTCCATCGCTGTAAACGGCAAATTCGCTCGACCAAAAGCGCAGTGCGACACAGCTAGGACATCAGTGGATGCTGAAGGTGAGGAAATGTGAAGATAGCGCGTAGCAGAAAACGATCGACCGCAGACATGACCGCAGAGCTGAGAAAACAACACGTGAACGAACACAGCAAGGTTTGGCTTGGCTAAGCTACTAAGCTACGGCTGCCAACGGATCGACACAAGCGGTTTCGAGGTTACGGCAGCCGCGGCGTGGTGCCGTAACCTTGAAACCGCTTGTGTCGATCCGTTGGCAGCCGTAGCTTAGTAGCTTAGTGATGCTGACCATACCTGCGATGCGAGTATGGCGGGTTAGAGAATATGAAAACAACCAAATTACGGTATCGGTGATGACTTTGGGTCGGCAGTTAACAGTAAAAAGTCCGGGAAATCGGATGCCGAAGGCTATAAGCGTCCGGAATTTCAGATTTTTTTATTACATTGACTCTATGGGGAACTTGACGGTGCCACAGATGAGTCCGGGAAATCGGGCATGTCCAGAATTTTAAGCTTCCGGGAAATCGAACGTCGACTGTAGTTCACACCAAAAATCGCCACTATACCAGTGTTTATTAAAATGAGTTTCATCGATAGCTACCATTCCGCACTTCAAATTCACATGAATGGCTAATTGCCCCGTTTATACAACCTTCGAATAGGTTTGAATACATTTTCTTACATTTGAAAACAAGAGCTGAATTATAACAAGTGTGAGAAGTATAATCTTAATTTAGGGTCTCTATAGTTTCACAGAGATTGTCTAATCACTGTTAAAAAAACTAAAATCCGAAATAAGCATCAGTTCTGGAAACTGCATTTGTTCGACTTATGCACCTGAAGCACGTAAATTTAGCATATGTGAGCTTACAGTTTCCACAAAATTATGATACTATTACATTGAGAGCATGCCAACACCCTGAAGATCGCAGGGCATTCAAGCTAGGAAAAGAGGGCGCACAGCAACTAGTTAAGACCAACTGCTCGCAACAACCAATGACATAATGCATCTACCAACATCACATCACACTAACATTTCCAGCAAGTGAGCGACTGACACCGATGTTCAAGCACGCAGTCACCAGTCGGCGTTCTTGTGGCCTACGTACGAGACCACGCTGTTTTCTAATAATGTTAATTGAGGGGGCACATCCCAAAACCAGAGACTCTGTAGTAAAGGGCTCTGGAAACTTTTACCACCTGGGGTTCTTTAACGTGCACCTAAATCTAAGTAAGTGGGCCTCGAGCATTTTTACTTCCATACGACTTTCAGCGTAAGACAATGGTAGCTAGACGATTTAGTTTTTCACCTTCATAGCGTAATACAGGTTAGTGACACCATAAGTATTACACGAACGCCGGTGAGATTTGCTTCAAGTTCTGTACTCCTACCAAGACCAGTGGAGCATTGACATAACAGATAAAATGACTGCAACCTATGGTGACCCCGCTACTAACTGCAGCGGACGATCACCGCGGGTTCACGCTTAGCGAGCCACAGGGCCGCTACTCCGTTTACTCGCGTGTAGCGCACAGCTCCGCGCGCGCTCAACTATAAGGCGTTTAGCGCGGCGCGGCAAATAGACAGTGTTCTAATGCAAAAATACACAACACTTTATTGCCTCTGGCGGCACCCCGAACAACAGTACAACGTCCGCTCCCGGGACGCGGGTAGCAAAGGCACCCGCACGCGGACGTTCACAATAAGGGGAAAACCGCGAGCACGTCGCAGCTCACAATGGCGAGCTTTGACACGCCGGTCGGGAAAAGGTCCCTCGCGGCTATGCTGCGCACTCTCACGATGGCCAATGGGCCTGGTCGCGAGCGTTAGGGCTAACCTCGTACGCGTAGGCCTACGGCAAGTGCGGCTCGTTGTGGTACGACCACTTCAAGCACTAGGCACCGCTGTGGGCTTAGCGTACGCTACCGAAGCTAGCACTCGAGTAAACACGCCTGCCGAGGTGCCCAAGGCCCCCCCAGGCAGGCTACAGTCCGGCG